AGGGAGGCTATTTTTTACTCACTCCACAAAGACAACCTGTTTCTACAACTTGGAAGTCAGATATGATGGCTAGAACTCCAGCTACTATCTTGAAATATTAGACAAATTAGGGATAGGAAGACAAGGGTTACTGACAAGAAGGAAAGAGCAAATAATTGTACAATGAAGACAGGGTCACCCATACCATATCTATGTCTCTTCAAGACTTATTACATGATAAATAAACGCTGACCTTGTTTAAGCCACTTAACTAAGGTCTCTATTAGCAGGAAAATGCAATTCCTGATATTTGGACCTTGTATGACTCTTGAAACTACATACATTGATAAAATCTAAAGATAAATTTAAAAAAATTTTCAACTAATAGCAAGAACTGGTAAAAATGAATTATACCCTAAATACTCACCGAATTATATTATGTAAATTCTATACCACAACAAAAAAATAAGGACTATTTTTCCCTAAAACAATTATGCTAGCATTTCTCTAAATTAAGAGACATTAGCAATGTATCTTATAAAACAATGAAGTGAACTCTTTTTTTTCTGTCAAGACTGTCTTTTTGGCACATCTCAGTAGTTGCTTAAAAATCATTTCAGGATGTGGCCAACAGGTGGCATAGCAGTTAGGTGATGGACTCCCACATGGTTGACCATGGATTGAGTCATGAACTTGAAACTCATGCTGGGCATGTATGCCTGCATGTCCAGCATCTATGGAGGAGAAGGGATTGTGACATGGCCATCCCCCACCCTGAGAGGGGAGATGATTTCCCATTTTCTATCTCTCTGGCAAGTGCATCATCCCTATTAAAAAAAAATTTTTTTTTCATTAAATACTTTTTTGCCATTTATAGTAACATTACAGACATAGGGTACCCACTAAGAGTCCCAAAGTTAAGGGCATAGCAGGGTTTCTCAGTTTTGGCACTACTAAAGTTATGAACCACACAGTTTATAGTCATTGGGGTTATCCTGCACACAGAAGGGTGTTCAGTAGCATCTCTGGCCTCTAACTGTTTATTACATGCCAGCAGCAACTCCCCAGGTATGAAAATCAAGAATATCTCCAGAGACTGCTAAATGTCCCCTATAAGAAAACAAAATACTTGAGAACCCACATCTTAGAGAAAATGTAGTTGCTGCACAAATCACTGTTTCATCTGTAGCATTAAACTTTTCCAGTTAACCAATAAAATCTAAGAATTATAAGATTTCTAAGTTTTTCTAAAACTTACTGTGAGATATAAACTACCTACAGATTAGATTACCTCTAATGTCATCCTTAAACCTGCAGAGGATTTCACATGAGAGAAATAGTAACTTCTATCTACCAATATTTAAGTCTGCCAATGTGCCAGATGCACTACTGAGTACTTTATGGTTATTCTTTCATTTTATACTTATGATCTCAGCATGGAATGGATACTAACCCCTCTGTAAGTACAAAATAATTTAAAGTCTACTTTAACCAACATTTGAAAATGTTTCCAGAAATATTTATTATTTACTATATTCATTCTGGTACAGAACTAAGAAAAAAGTACTGTAACTTGCTTAGTTTACAATTAATTCATGACTTCCCCCTAAAATTTCAACACATCTGATAATAAGATAAAGGAATTGTTACAATCTTCAGGAATTGGGGAAATGCTCACAGGATCTTATAAGTCAGAGAGATGATCATGATCTATTTCTTGAAATCTTTTTACTATTGTGACTTAAGAGTAGTTTTTAAACTTTTCATCTCTAATTCCCTGAGTACTTTTTCTACCTTCTTTTTTTTTTCATTTGCCCGACTAACCAAAAAAAAAAAAAAAATTACAACATAATTATTTGAGGATTTATTTGGAATTCCAGTCTGTCAGTAGAAACTGAAGGCTGGATTCAAATCCACCCACTGAGATCTAAGGCAAGTTAACTTTCTCAGGCCTCAATTTCAACTGTGTAACTTGCTATCTGAAGGTTAAGACATAGTGGGCTCTCAATAAAAGTTACTTTTACATATGTTCATCCTTAAAGCAAGTAAGTATCATTCTCTTTCAGCATTTGTTGAGAGCCAAGGTAGGGGGGTGTGTGATAGGGACAGTCTGCCCAACATCATACCATGTCTTGTTTTACCTGTAGCAAAAAAAAAAAAATAAGGAAGAACCTCTCTTAGGGATCAGCAGTTAGCATAATGGCTATGTCGCTGAATTCCCATGTAGCTGACTGCGGTTTGAGTCCCGGACCCGGTGGACTAAACTCACGAGCGTGTGTGCGTGTGTGCCCAAGATCCCGAGAGGAGAATGGAGGAGAAGGGATTACAGCATGACCATCCCCCTCGGGGGGTGATTTCTCACTTTCTTTCTCTCTGTCTGTCTTTCTGGCGTGCGCACACTCCCTATAGCAAAACCTCTCCCAAAATAAAGAACCTCTCTTGAAAAGTACTCTTTCCTCTCTCTCTTTATCCACACTGTTACCTGCCAAAAAATTTTTGATTCATATTTCTCTCTAAAAGGAAGATAAATTGGAGTGTTTCTTCTTAACACCAGTAGGCTGTGTTTTTAATTCATATATTTAGTTAACTGTCACCCACCCAAATGCATATTATCAATTTTATGTAATGTTCCAAATTAAATCAATTACCAATGAGTAAAAGTTACTTAATTTTACTCTCAGTAGGTTTTAGGAAGCAAATTGTTAAAAAGTCATCTTTGACAAAGAATTAGAGTATAAAATTCATTGCTTTCCTTACTGGCGAATAAAACAGAATTATTATAGTAATGTGTTAATCAGTAGATAAAATCCAACTTACTACAGATAATCTTTTTCTTCATTTTCATCAGTCTTCTATTTCAAGTTTTAATTTTTTTTTTAAAAAAGGACTTTATAAAGCTAATCTGTAAGGTAGAACTAGGACAGGAACCTAAAAACAGATCTATTGGTAATCTAGAGGATTATAAAATATGCAGTGAGGTTTCAGGTAAAAAGTCAATAGCATGGAAGTATGTCAGTATAACAGTAACTTAAGAATAAAAAATAAAACTTCATCAAGTTCTTGTTTATTTTATGGGATATTCAGGACACAGTGGAATTTTATTTAAGAATCAACTTCATTTGGCCTTAAAATATTTTACTATCACTGTTTAGTAACTGGTTTTCATATGCTAAATTAATTCACTTGTTCTTAAAATTGATCTGAAGAAACAGACTAATAGTTAAAGTTCTCCAAAAATGTGATGGTCCTCAAATAAAATTTCAAATTCTAGAGCTTAAATTAAGAATTATTTGATCAAGTAAATTAAAGTCAAATGTAGCTAAAAACTAAGATGCTCATTAATGCTACAAAAAGCAAAATAAACCAAAGCGAAGACATTTTTTGCCCTTGAGCAAATTAAAAACACCTAGTATATTCTAATATTCAGAAGTTTAAAATTCCTGTAGCTATGGATTATCAATAACATGGTTTGTAGATGTAAAAATTACAGTTAAAAATCAAATTCTCAGAAAACAAGACACAGAACATGTAAATCCAGTGAATACCAATTATCACAATATATTAAAGAAAAATCACTACATAGCAATGCCAAATAAATTGACACATCTTTAATACCAAGACAGTTACAACCCTCAAACCAAATTATCTATAGTATTGGGGGAATAGGTAAAACCAAAGACAACCTAAAATTAAAAGCATCAGTAACTTACCTGAAAATTTCCACTCCATCCTTTTTCTTTCAATGCTTATAAGGGCATAAAACCAAATGTCAGCAAATATGATGCCCACTTCTTACTAACTTTTTTTCCCTACTTATTACCAGAATGTAAATTAATAGGTAAGTGACCAAAACATATGCCTTAATTACTATACCTATTTGACAGAACAGGAAACTGAGGCACAGAAAGAGTAATTTGTTCAAGGTAAGACAACTAGGAAGTGCATTTGAACCTTATACACCCAAAATAAAAAGCAAATTTAAAGAGATGAGATAGAAAAGAAATACTTAATTTTTTTTCCCAAAACTGTTTACAGGAGTATTTGTGAATGAGAACAAAACGTTTAAATTATAAATGTATGTAGAAGATGGGAATGCAGATTACACAAACTTTTCTTCTAAACATTGCTTGTGTGCTAAAATACATGATTACACTCAAATACTTTAAACTACATCACATCCTAGTGGCAGTCACTAAGTAAAGGAAATAATTTACTGTCACTGTTAAGAGACTATATTTTATAGGCTACATAAAATACGCTGTAATTTAAAGGATGAGGGGGATGGGGCTCTAACCACAGTAATACTTTATGGAAAATGACTTTCTCTATGAGCAGTTAATTAGAAGAGTGCACGTGTCAAGGGATATGATAAGAAAAGGAAAGATGACAATCACTGTCATAACGTACCCACCCACTCCCTACAGGAGGGGGGGAAAAAAAGGAAATTACCGTGGGTCAGAGCCTAAGCCAACTGGAGAACTGGAGAGCCGGCCCAGTAGGATCTTGTGAGAGGATGACAGGAGACCCTACCAGAGGGGGAGGGGTGGCGATGACAGGAGAGGGGGCGGTAGAGAGATGGCATGCCTCCCATAGCCGAAAAAGGGGAGAATTTACGAGGGGTAAAGGAAGAGAGGGGAAGACAGAAAATGTTACTAGAGGATCCAAAAGAGGTGAAAAGGAACAGGGTAGGAAACAAGAAAGGCGGGACCCTCGGGCAGGAAGGGGTCTGTTTGGGGTAGGAGAGGCATGCCAGAACACAGCTTTCTGGACAGCTACCCTCCTTTCCAGCTCCAGCTCCAAAACTCTCACTTTCTCAGCAACCCTAAGCACGCGGGTCACCCCCGTTCTGCTCCCCGCCCCCCACTCCAAGCCGGATAGGTGGAAGTGGGAGCTTTCACCCGCACCCTCCTTGTTGGGCTCAAGGAGCAGGCGCCGGAGCCTTCTCGTGGACAAGAAGGCCAGGAGACGCAAAGAGGCCCGAGACCCGGGTGACAAGTCTGGGAGGCCGACGGGCACCTCACCTGACAGAAGCGTCGACAGTAATCCCGACTGCTGATCCCGACGCCGCAGCCGCCGCAGCTGCCGCCGCCAGCGCCGCCTCTGTCGTCGCCCGCAGTTCTAAGCCCTACAGGGCCGGGCGGGGACTCCACAATGGCTACGAGCTCTTCCCCGAGGCGTTCGGCCTCTTGGTCGCTCTCTTCCTCCGCCATGAGGCTCTCACCGCCCAGCGCGTACCAGCCCCTGCGCCGCCGCCGCTGTTGCTGCCTCGGTTAACCTCCTCCTCCTTTAGTTCCCTCCCCCTTCCCTCCGCCCCAGCCGGACAGGATCCTCTCGACTAGGCTCTATTTCCGGCTCCGCCCACCCACGCCCCTAGTTTTCACCCTCTGCCATTTCCCGTTGACACTTATTCAATTCTTGCTTTATTCTTTTTTTTTAAAAAAAGTTCATGAGACCAGCAGATGACATAATGGTTATATCGCTGGACTCCCACATAGTCAATTGTGGTTCACATCCTGAACCTGGTGGCTTAAAACTCACATCTGGTGCATGTGTGTGTTTACGTGCCCAAAACCCAGAGAGGAGAATGGAGGAGAAGGGATTGCAGTGTGGTCATGCCTCCTGGGGGATGATTTCTTACTTTCTGTCTCTCTGGTGAGTGCACACACCCTATACAAGGCGAGGCCGGGGGCGGGGTCGGGGCGCCGTTGTCGGCGGGAGGAAGAGGGAGGAGACGGGAAGCCTGACAGCGGCCGCCTCCGCCAGGCGCCTGCCGCCACCTCCCCTGAGACTGCAGCCAACTCGGTTGTCGAGTTCCCAGGCCCACCGCAGGCAGCTGGGACTCGGCCCTGCCCAGCTAGCGGGGTCGGGGTGGTGGGGCGCCGGCCTGCTAGGCTTGGCGCGGGAGGAGGGAGTCTAGACGCCTGGAACGTCCTGCGCCCCGCCTCCCTCGCCCCCGCCCGAACTCGGGGCCTGGGGAGCGCGAGGAAGTGCAAAGCGCAGCAGACTACGGAGAAGGAACTAGGATAGGAAGTGCTGGGATCGAGTTTGGTGTGGAGTTACCCGAAGAGAGCGATTTTAGAAACACCTGCGTGGTAGCCGTTGACATTCTTACTCATCTTTTCATCCACCCTTTGCCTCCTTTTCCCCTATTTTTTTCTTTCCATTTATTTTTTGTGTTTTACAGTGAAGGCATGATTTCCCGGCACCGCAGGGAAAATAGGGTGCAAGCCCAGAAACTATTTCCCCACCACCACTTGTTGAAAAACTGATTTGAAGGCATCTCCGGGTTTGAACAAACGGAAAGTGCCAGGAGTTGATGCTTTGGTTTTGTGCTGGAGACCCTTCACTACTAAGTATCCAGACGAAAAAAACTGGAATCTAATCCGGTAAACATTTAAAACTTAAAACTTCTGATGAGTTTTATTTTGATCTAGTAAATGATTTGCTGCCTCTCTTCTGCTGGCTAATTTCTGCCTTTAACTTTTTAACTTCCTTGTTTGTCTAAATATCTTTACATCTATTGAAAACACGTTATTCTTTGGGTATATAAAGCAAGCATCCTCCAGTACGTGAATATTTGCCTCTGCAGTAACAGACTTGGAAAGATACAAGACATTGGGAAGTATAGTCATTTCACATTAGTGAAAGTGAACATTTTATGCTACAGGAAATTATGTACTCAGTGGTTTTAAAGTTTGAAATCCAAACATTTAAAGATAGAAGATTTTTCACATAAAAAAAAATTTGGTCATTGCTGAGCCTAGATATTTAATGTTTTTCATAACCAGCTTAGGACCATTAACCATAATTGGAACTTACTGTAATAGGATAAACTAAATACTTTTAAAGTATGAACATGTGTAATGGTAATTCACCAATTACTGGGCAGAAATCTTATGTCTTCTCTGCCATTTTACACGTATATTGCCTGACAAAATATTTAACTAATGATAGCCATGCATTAAAAGAAAATTGTAATTAAAAAATAGAATTAAACTTAATAAAATCTCAACTTTCATGCTTTCTAGAATTTCAGAAAAATGTTAAATCCTCTTGCTTGGGTCCATGGGTGCCTAACATCTGGACAATTTAAAGTCCTTTTGAAAGGGATTTCATGTTACTCAGGTGGATTAATGGAATACTCCATTGTTTCTGGTTATGCTTATGAAGTACAGTTCTTCACACATAAGAGCTCCTCTCCAACGTATTTATACAGAACAGAATTCCACCTTGAGTTCTACTAAATTCATTTTAATTTCTTAAATCTTAGCTATTGTAAGAACTTAACCCAAGGACATGGCCTTAGTGAATAATTAAAACTTACTGATCATGTGTTGCTAACTAAGGTGTATGCTCATTATATCAATTTTCAGTGCTGGGAACCAGCAGTTAGTGTAATGGCTATGTCGCTGGACTCCCACGTAGTCAACCATGGTTCACATCCCGGACCCGGTGGCTTAAAACTCACGCCGGGCGCGTGTGCGTGCGTGCCCAAGATCCCGAGAGGAGAATGGAGGAGAAGGGATTGCGGCGTGACCATCCCCTCTGGGGGGTGATTTCTCGCTTTCTGTCTCTATGTCTCTCTCTGTCTGTCTGGCGAGCGCACGCGCCCTATAGTGAAAACCTCTCAAAAAAAAAAATTTTCAGTGCTCATAATGTTATGATTTTGGCAGTTGGTCTAATAAAAGTCATTAAAATTTGTTATTAGGATAAGCTGATAAATAATTAAGATGCTTCTAAAATAAATATTAGACATATAGTGAAAACACTTTTTCTATTAACAAATTTTGGTGAGCATGTCTTATAATAGATACTATGAGGGGACTTCAGAAAGTTTGTGCAAAAATGAAATTCAAGTATGGATTTATTTCGGTGCAAAAATTTTTGAAATCCATCCATAGTTTTTTCATAATCTGCATTTTTCATGAAACTTTTTGAAGATCCCCAAATGTTCTTGATTTTATTCTAACTTGCTAGTTGGTATGAACTAAATATTGAGAAATGTAATTACTCTTTTATGTATAAAGGAAACATGTTAGAGAAAGAATACTTTGCCTATCCTGACTGTCACCTTTTGGAAAACGTAAGAGAAATTACATGCATTAAAAAATAGCCTTGTGCTCTATATTTAGCTTTAAAATGTAGTGTTATTGCTACTACTAATTGTATTTGATCTCTGTACTTTCATAGTATTTACTTTTTTCCTCAGAACAATTTTGGAAATTACAGCCATCTTCATATACAGTCATGCCAGATAAGTGGCTCACCTGTATGAACAAACCTCATACACAGTTTTGTTGCTAAATTCATTTGCTTCAGAATTGCAAATGGTCAAAAGCTCCTTTAAACTTGAATACATATCTAAACCACATGAGATTAATACAGTTAATACACTAAATATTGACCTGTGGTTAGATTTTCTTAAAAGATAGCGGTGGTAGGATGGTTGAGGTTGAAGTGTTGGTCTCCCCCACTCCTGGACCTGGCAGCCTGAAAAATCACAGCAAACAAACAAACAAAATAAATAGATAAATAGGTTTTGTTTTTTGTTTTTAAGGACAGTTAATCTGGGATAGATGTTTTTTTCATTGTACCAATTTTTATAAAAATCAAGGAATGGACTTAGTTGTTAGCAAAGTGCTCTAGTTTTGCCTTCCCCTCTTTATTGCAAATAATTTAAATGAGCAGGCTAATCTTAAAAAGTTTTTATATCCTGTCTTTCATTGTTAGTAACTTTCAGAACGAACTGTTGTCATGACACTTATGTTTGTTTCTCTTGTCTCAAAAGAACCATACTCAAAGTCAGAATGGAACGCTTTGTAGTAACAGCACCACCTGCCCGAAACCGTTCTAAGACTGCTTTGTATGTGACTCCCCTGGATAGAGTCACTGAGTTTGGAGGAGAGTTACATGAAGATGGAGGAAAACTCTTCTGCACTTCTTGCAATGTGGTTCTGAATCATGTTCGCAAGTCTGCCATTAGTGACCACCTCAAGTCAAAGACTCATACCAAGAGGAAGGCAGAATTTGAAGAGCAAAATGTGAGAAAGAAGCAGAGGCCGCTGACCGCATCTCTTCAGTGCAACAGTACTGCACAAACAGAAAAAGTCAGTGTTATCCAGGACTTTGTGAAAATGTGCCTGGAAGCTAACATCCCACTGGAGAAGGCTGATCACCCAGCAGTCCGTGCTTTCCTGTCTCGCCATGTGAAGAACGGAGGCTCCATACCTAAGTCAGACCAATTGAGGAGAGCGTATCTGCCTGATGGATATGAGAATGAGAATCAACTCCTCAACTCACAAGATTGTTGACTAGCAAATTGCCATCATTGTGATCAAGATAAACAATGTGGAGTATTAAAGTTATGTGTTAATTGTGTGGTTCATTTATATATTTATTTCATTTAAAATCATGTGATGCCGAATAGTTTTACAATGTGTATATAGTTGCAGACAAAAACAAAAACAAAAAAAAAAACCTCACTGCAAAACATATTGTTAATTTTAGTCACCAATGGTATAAATCAAAATTTAGGTTTAGAGTGTGCTAGGATACCTGAAACCTGATGGTTATCTTTGAAATTGATGGTTTTTCTCCTAAAATGTTTGTGCATGGAAGAACTGCCCTGCTTTATTACCCTGTTGCCATGTATGATTATTCCTTGTGAGATTACTTAATTACTTGGATTGAAGACCAGCCTAGGAAGTTGAAGCTGCTGCCAGGCAACACCACTCACAGTAACTTAAAGGAATTATTTCTGATTAGAGGATCCTCTTCAAAAAGGAAGGGGTGGTGAGAAACTATTCTAATATCTTCAGATCCCTAGCAGAAATGACTGTTTACTTCAAACTATGTTTTACTTGTATGTGATGTTACCTTAACTGTCCAGTTCCTCACTGATTTCCCCTTTTCCAAAGGCTTATTGTAGTTAGTAGCAGCTTCAAGTGACCAAAAGACTAAAATCTCTTAATGTCAGTGCCAAAACCTTGGGGAATTTCGCAGTGACAAGATTTTAGTCTTATTCTGAAAACATTTTTGAAGCATAGCTTTCATTTTAAGCATCATCTTGATTTGCAAACTTTTATGTCTGTGTTAAAAGACTGGCATTTTAATTTAAAAAGGTAGACATTTTATGGTTGAATTTCTTTTTACAGAGTATTAGTCATTTTTGGCTAACCAATCAGTTAATAAGGAAACTGCTTTCTGTATATTTTTCCATAAGATTTTATGGGTTTATTTAGGTAAATAGACTAGAAGCAAGTTTATGTACTTTCACTTTTATCTACTTTGCCTTTGGTGGTACAAGCTTTTTTTAAACATGGATGGTAAGCAATTGTGTAGATATTTTGGCAAGATTTTTGTTGTGGAGATCTGGCAGTATCCTGCATAGCTCTTTGGGTGAGGAAATAATTCTGTTGAAGGTAAACCATGTTCAGGAAATGATCTCTATCTAAACCTCACTTTTCTATAAGTTATCAAAGTAACTTAGCCCAGCTAAGTCCTCTCTATCAGAGACCCAAATCATATTTTTTAAAAATGTAACAGCTGAAAACTTGAACCTAGAGCTTTAATTTTTAAGAAATCTTAAATTCTTTGAAAACATTCAAATTAAAATATTTATAAAGTATATTTCTATTACAAAGCACTGACAATGCCCTATATGATTATCTTTTGAGGTCATTTTACCACAGATCTTCATTGGGAAAAGCCAAAGTGAAAAAGTTTAGATTTTGTATTTTCAGCAACTTTCCATGTCTTAAGTTTCTTTGGCAGACTTAAGTTCCTAATTCAGATTATTAAAGAGGTCATCTAATTTTAGATTTTCTGTTTTATTTAAAAAAATAAGCCTGCCACACATACAAATCACTTGTCCAAATTTGACCTATTAGTTTTTCGCAAGTTTATTTTTGTTAATGTAGCACAATAAATGCCTACAGTAGTGCTCTCCTTGGTAAAGCACATTCATGAGGTGAGCAGCAAAACAAGCAAAGTGTGTTTTGCTTTTATTTTCTCTAGAAAAGAATTTGCAGGCAACCATGTTTAATTCAAATTATCTAAGATAGTAGAAAACCTTAAAAGCTAGGAAAGTGAGTTTTATAGCACTATTTTCAGACTACAGAAATAAGGTTAAATATACAGTGATTTTGATCAAAATTCTATGTGATTCAGACTGCTCCCTTTCGTTCAGGTATTTGCACTAACAGCAGACACTAGTGGCAGAAACAAATTTAGTAGTCCTAAGCAATAAACTGGATGAAGTTGCACTAGAAAAACATTAATTCACACTTCAGTTTTAGCAGTTATTGATTTTATCATTTAGGTTCCATATATCTTCACATATTTCCAGGCTCCTAACTTTCCCACAGTCTATCTAGGGGCATAGTCCATTTACCTGTTAGGATTATATCATGTCCTTAGTCATGTTTTCCATCCTGTTGTAGGGGGTTGATACTAATGTTTCTTTAGTGATTATGAAACTTATCCCTGAAACTAGTTAACTGTCTCATAGTTAAATAAGGCAGAATGATTATTTTAGCCTGCTCAGACTGGTACAGATCCATGCATCCATGATTGGCTTATGTTAGATGAGGAGGCATATGCTGCTTGGAGGTGTAATGAACATGTGTGTAGAAGCTTTCAATCTTAACTATATAGCGTTAGTGTGATACTATACTATTGGAAAAGTAATAATCTTTTTCTGTTTTATAAGTTGTATGCATAAACAAGATTTGTAATGTTTTCATTTATAAACTGCCTTCAACACGTGCTTACCTGTTAATAGTGTTTTCTCAAAATATGGTAGTCTGTCTTCCAGATTTTCACTATATGTTTGTAGTATAAATAGTTCTAGCTTGTTGAAATGTTAAATTTCTTACTGGTTTCTTTTTTATTTGATGGGGCATATAGCAAGCCTGAAGGACATGTAATCATTTTTTTGCAGGGTGAAAATTTAGAAAGATTGTGTATGAGAGCCTGTAGAGTTTATCCATTATCATCTTTCAGTTTTTGTTTTTAACAGATGCTTAGTCCAGTTAATGCATTTGGCCCTACTGAATATTCAGGGACCAGAAAACTTTTTTAAAAAAGTTCTGCCTGCATCTTAAAATGATAACCAGTTAAGTATCTATTTGGGATTATTCTGAAATATTAATTGTTTAAGATCTCCAAGCTGAAAGTACTATGTTAATACTTTTTCCTTAAAGAATTTGTATGTGAATGTTAATAGAAAATCTATATAAGGCAAAATAAAATGTGAGGTAGATCAAAACAAAAGCCAGTTTGTCATGGTGCTTAGTCTTGGTAAGGGCTCTCCATGGCTTGACTTGTCCCAACTGCCATTAAATGAGGACAGATCACCTTAAAATATGTTAATTTGACTCATTACATGGAGGATTAGTTCTGTAATTTCATTGGAAAACCTAGCCTAAAATGAATTGCATTAGCTTCTGGTCAGCACTGGTTAAAATGTGAATAGTGAAGTGGTGATCCTAAACCTTGATTTATCTCAAATCTATGCTGTCATATTTCTGAGGTAAATGCAATTCTTATCTAGTGGTATTCTACTTGTATCCAGAAAACTGTATTAATTAAAAATTTACTATGTTAATTTTTGTATTCCTGTGCTTTTTTTCATGCATGTATCCTTAGTATTAATGTGTCACTTTTAAGGTTTTGTCTCTGTGACTTTTAGAAATAAATTTAAAAAGAAAATTGTTTCAAAAGTTCTTGAATCAATGACAAATATATTTCATAATTCCAAAAGAGCAACAGAATTTCGTAAATTCAGTTTTGTTTTTCTACTACTTAATATCTCTCCCAATGTCAAAGTATACTCTCAAATTACATTCACATTCACATTCTAACTACAAATAGCTCTTTTTACCAAAAATTGTATAGATAATATTTAAGCATAATTATTTCTTTCAGTTGGAAACACTTTTTTTCTTTTAGAAATACTTGTGAAAGAAAAGTTCTAATTTCCATCTCATAAGTTTTATTCCATTTCAGAAAGTCTACATTCTCATTGCTACTTTGGACAAAAATCTAGAGAGCTGTAAAATTGTTTTAATAATTTTACATCATTTTAAGGGAGAATATTCCTGCTATTCGTGTCTATTTGGCAAAAAGTTAATCAGCTTAGTTCAGTTTTTACTTTTCCTGGAATCAAAATAGTAGAAAAAACTTTTAAGAAATCAGTCAATACTTCTGCTTTCAGTTTAATATCATCAAACCATTAGAGACCTATCTTCATTTTTCCTAAAGAATCTCATCACTACTCTTACTAAACAGAAACCAATTGAATGTGTGTGCTTCTGGGTCTCATAACAGTTTCTTTTTTCCTATGTGTAAACTGAGTTGAACTGTGTATCTAACACAGTATGTCAATGATGCAAGGATACTCCTGGGATTAGACTAGCTAACCTAGCATTGTGAAAGCTAAAAAGCTAAAACTAGGAAATAGAATAACATGTCATGTGACATGGGATCTACATGATATATCCCACAACATGACTTCCATCTAATTAGCACTCCCAATAAGTTACTTGATTTCACTTGTTTTATATGCGAACTAGTTAGAGCGAATGTTTCTTAACTCATTTAAATATTGGAATCAGATCACTTTAAAAGCCCATGTCCTCAAATTTTTCATTAAATCAAAACAATATTGGGACCAGCAGTTAGTATAATGGCTATGTCGCTGGACTCCCATGTAGTCGACCGCAGTTTGAGTCCCGGACCCGGTGGCTTTAACAAGCCGGGCGTGTGTGCGTGCGTGCCCAAGATCCCGAGAGCAGAATGGAGGAGAAGGGACTGCGGCATGGCCACCCCTCCTGGGGGGTGATTTTCTGCTTTCTGTCTCTCTGTCTCTGTCTGTCTGGCGAGCGCACGCGCCCTATAGCAAAAACCTCTCAAAAAACAAACAAACAAACAAAAACCAATATGCAATCAACTAATACTATCTTGTGTCTGACATTATTATAGTCACTGGGGTACCCTAGGGAAAATAAAGGATCCTGACCTCAATAACATACATTCTACTGAGAATTCATTGTCAATAATGATTTCTGGGGTAGATAGGGATATCTTTGTCTTTTCTAGACAATTCCTTTAAAGCAATAAACATCGAAAATTGGCAGACATTTTTTAGAGAAAATCTGATTATATAATGCATAAAGTATCAATTTTCAGGTTAAAAATCTATTAAGTAATGGGTTAGCCAATTTTAATGTCTGCGAAGAACCTACCAAAAACATTTTAAGAAAAGGCCAGTGGTAAGGCAAAAACTTTGCTGAATATTGATACAATCACTGATTGGGTGACCCATAACCCAGTGGTCAAGAGAACCAGATTCCACGTGACCTACCATGGTTGCAATGCTAGCCCTAAGGGCTTGAAAAATACACCAGGTGCATGTGCACATGTGTCCATAATCTCAACAAGATAGATGGAACACATGACCATGTCTGTCCCATTGGGTGCTTTCACCCTGTTCCCCCATTCTCGTCTCTTTGTCTCTCTTTGGCAAGCACGTGCACCCTTTGGCGATTACAATAAAAAATAAAAAAGATAGTCGCCAGTGTGCCTAATTACACAATTATTATAAACCAACTGCCTGGGTTAGTAAGCAGAGTAGATGGTAGACTCTTTGAACTTCTGTTTAAGCATGAAAGCAACTGGTGTGTAACAAAAGACCCTGTTTTTACATCTCTGCCTCATCTTTGAATCTTATCTTTTAACTATGCAATAGTGATGATGATAATGATGATTTTATATATTCTTTTTAACAAGTTTCACTTTTATGACTATGTTCTACAGAAATAAAATAGCCAGTATGTTAATGTATGTGTAAAAGGATGTTCATTTTAATAAAGTAATAAGCAACTGTAAGTACTCTGAATTTCCAGGAATAAGGCAATGGTCAAAAATGAAGATAGATTTATATTATAAGCCTTTCAAATAATCTAATTATAGATAAAAGATGTCTACTATAATTGCTAAGTTTAAAAATTAGTGTATTTTCTCACTTTTGAAATAAAATTGTAGAACTGTGCTATATATGTGCAATATATTTGCTTGAGTTGAGGAGACACACCAAATGTTGAGATTATTGACAAGACCATCAGGTGGTACAGTGGTTAAGGTGCTGGACTCCCACAAGGCAGACTGCAGTTTGAGTCCTGAACTTGGTGCTTTGAAAATCACTGCAAGCCATCACATGAGTTTGTGTGTAATTTTCCACTTGTGTCATCTTTTTGGTGCTCAAGGAAGATTCAGATTTTTAAAGCATTTTTGAGTTCAGATTTTTAGAATATATATGCTTGACCTGCACTTTTTCACTTACCAATTTTAGACATGATTCTTAATATGAAAATGGTATTCTTTTTCATATATATATTGCAAATATATATATTGTATAATTGAAAATATCATCATTATCCCCTTGTAATTAGTTGAGAGTATGCCTAAGTAGTTTAAAAATTATTTTTATTTGATAATGTTGAAGACATTGCTCTATAAATATAAATTGCAATACATTAAGAAGTGCAGTACTTTTTTCAGTCTTGTTTCTTAATATGCAATATGCTTTTATATACATATATATTTTTAAAGAGATTTTTGCCTTGGGGCATGTATACTCACCAGAGAGAGAGACAGACAGGCAGACAGACAGACACAGTGAGAGAGAAAGTGAAAAATCACTCCACAAGGGGAATGGCCACACTGCAATCCCTTCTCCATTCTCCTCCCAGGGTTTTGGACACAAACATACACACACACACACACACACACACACACAAACACACACACATTGTTATTTTCAAGCCACCAGGTCCAGGATTCTAATCATGGTCGGCCATGTGGGAGTCCAGTGACATAACTGCTATACCACCTCCTGGACTATTATGTGCTTTTATATTGACTTTATACTGTAATTATAATATACTTATTTACTGTCACAAAAGCTACAAAGCAAAGAGATATACCAGGATGACAACTGTATTGGATCTTGAAAGGAATAATTCAAATTGGAGTAATAAGAAAGGGGACTAGAAAGGCAGTTTTCCAGAAAAGTAAGTGAAGTACATATTACATTGATCCTGGTTTGGTAATTTACTCAGCTCCATTAATATCCTCCTTTTGATTTCCTAAACTTTTTTTCAGAATTATTATTTTAGTTTTTCAATAGGGCGTGTTCTGTGTTTGCCAGATAGAAAGAGAAAGACAAAGTGATAAATAATCCCCCAGAGGGGATGGCTATGCCACAATCTCTTTTCCATTCTCCTGAGATTTTTGAGCAGACACACACTCAACATGATTTTTAAGCCACCAAGTCCAAGACATGAACTGCATACAGTTGGGCACTTGGGATCCAGTGCCTTAAATGCCCTGCCACCAGCTGCCTATAAACATTTTTTATAGCATCCCCTTTCAGGTTTATAACTGGCATTTTCTTTTATCTCTATGTGACTGTTAATTACAATCGTTGTAAAGCTTTCTTCTGCTCCTTCACTGTTTCTTTCTGGCCTTTCCATTTCTGACTAATTGTTTCGGTCTGTATCTTTCTATTGGAAACATTATTTAAGTAGAACCAAGTAGCTGACTGGAATCCTTGTGTACATGAGTGGGACTTGACAACAAGTAGAATAGTCAGAAGTAAGACACAATCTTTAGAGGACCTCAAAAGTTAATTTTTGAAAATAAATCTAAGAGCTTTTAGTTTCTTCAGTCTCACACAGAGAGCTGTGATAAGAATGTATGAAATACACACAATTACTCTCATTCTGAGAGCAGGTTGAGTAAGGGAGTTGTCATGGGTCGAATTGTGTCCCTCCCCTCCCCAATCCGTATGGTGAAATTTTCACTCCTAGTATCTCAGTATATGACCTTATTTGGAAATGCAGCCATTGCAGATGTAGTCAGCTACACTAAGGCCATTCTGCCGTAGGGTAACCCCTTAATCCCATATGACTGGTATCCTTACGAAAAGGGTAGAGTTG